AGACCCTCTAGCTCATGTTTTATGTTGACTAGATCCTGTAGGAACCAGAGAACAGTTCATGACTGGGACTGCCTAGAAGGGTTTGGACAGAGATAACTCATTTAACTGAAGAGGAGACTCAGCCAAGAGCCTTACCAAGGCCTGAGGTGAGCAGACCCTAGTCCTATCAAGCAGCAGGACTGGAGCTGCTTATCTATACAATCAGCCATTTTCTGGCATGTCCTGAGAATGTTTGTTGATTCTGTGCTTGTACAAAGGGCTTATCTGTCCACTGTAGCTTCTGTAGTCTCCATGGAAAATCCCAGTCAAGGGCTGACATGAATTGTGGTGGAAGCCCCAGTGAACACTGGTGTGCTTGGAAGCCCCTGTCAGTATCACAGGGGAGAGGGGTCATCCCCTAATCCACTTTTAGCTCTCCTCCTTCTGCAGGCTGAGTAATTCTTTGCAAGATGAAGCTAATGGAATATTCAGGATTAGTACTGGTAGAACACGTTTATGCTTCTCTTTTCACAGAAAGCTTTTGGAAAGATGCCAAAAGTTTGCAGCTCTTGAGATTAAACAGTTTGTTTTCATTGATTTCATTTTAAATAGACTATATTTTCTTGAGTTTTAGAAATCATATATTATAAATGGATATTAAATATATTAAATATGTGTGTGTGTGTGTGTGTAATTTTGTTATTTGTGCTCCATTTTACCTGGGAATTTTAGAAGCTTTCTGAGTCTTTCTGCAATTATACAACAAGGAATAAAATTGTAAAGAAAGGCCTAGGCCCCTAATGGCATGGAAAGGAGTGTCACTGACGAAAGCACCCCATGAAAGAATGCTGTCCACTCTTTGAGAGAACCCACTGCATTTAGGGTGCTCACAGAAATCCAAAATCTCTCTTATAGTCAAAAGATGGGGAAAATGAACAAGTGGCTCATAAGTGGACTCCAATGGCAACAGCTCTCATCTAATAGGAAAGTGGCTTAGGAATTCAACAGGTATGTTTTTAGGATGTCTTTTCCATGCACTCTTCCTCACAAATCCTCAAAATGTACCTGAAAGCCCAGCACCTTGCAGGACAGAGTACGTGTCCTAGTGCCACCACCTGACCTAGGGTTCTTCTCTTAGAAAATGGGCTGGCGGTAATCACATTCCTTCCTGATCCACGGATCCACAGGGTTGTCAACGAGGCTGGTAGACACAAAGGGCCTTTTGTCTAAAGTGTGACGCAAACATTAGGTACTACTTATTCAGCATCTGTGTGGCTTGATTTGGCCGTGATATATATATATATATAAATGATGGTTTAGGACCTCGTGCTTGATGTGCAGTGTGCTATCCAGGTGACCTTGGTGAAACTGGGCCACTGAAAGGAGATTACTTTCATAATAAGTTTAATATCAAGAGGTTACAGCTATGTCCTATGGTCCGACCTCAGAGCTTTAAAATTGTTTTTATATATGTCTACATATTAAAAGTAGCTTTTGTTATTATTTTAGTAAGCTCTTCAGGCTACTCATCTCTGCCCCCTCCTTCTCTCAAGCACACTTCCAAAATAAAGCTTCATTTCCTTAAAATCTTCAATTTTCAAGTCATAAATATTTATAAGAGAGGAATACATTTTTCCGAGTTACACATATTTACTACTATGAAATCACTTTCAATTGGAGTGAATTATCTACAACTTCTAATAAAGTTCTTTAAGCTCATCCCTTAATTATATCATGTCAGAAGGCATTGGCTGGATAACTTTTTTAAAAAGTGTGTGTGTGTGTGTGTGTGTGTGTGTGTGTGTGTGTGTGTATGTGAGATTAGAGCAAATTGAAGGAGATTTCCTCTCTCTGAAGGCTGTTTCTATCAAATATAAGTATGATTATTTCTAGTTTCAGTGGCTAATAAGAAAGAATGCACTTTTACTTCAAGCACTGAAGCTAGTTTCCCCATTTTCTTTTGAATTTCTAAAAGTAAAGATGTCCTAGAAAGGAATGAGGTATTGCAACATGGTACCACTTGGATGAACCTTGAAAACATTATGCTTAGTGAAAGAAGCCAGATGCAAAGGGTCGCATATTATGTGAAAATCTAAATAGTAAACCCATACAGACAGAAAACAGACTGGAGTTTGCCGGGGGCTGGGGGGGGGGGGGGGAGATAGAAAGTGACCGCTTCATGGGTATGATGTCACCCTTGGAGGTGGTGAAAACATTTTGGAACTGGACAGATCTGATAGTCGTACAACATTTTGACTACTAAATGCCAGTGAATCACACATTGTAAGATGGGAATTTTATGTGATGTGAATTTCACCTCAATAAAAAAGTAATAAAGCTGTTAAAAAAGAATAAAGGTATCACAAAGTACCCTATACAGAAAGCACATTTGCAGCAAGTGTGTAAATCACGACCTTTGTATTGTACATTTACTCGTACCCAGAGTGACAGGAGCCATCCAACCTGTGGCTCTCCCTGTGGGGGTGTCTGTCTGTGTCATTTCCCCCTTCCATCTCCTGCCACGTGTTGTCAGTCCCATCTCTGTAATGTCGTCCCCGTCAGGCTCCGTCTGTCCTTTCCTGTCCCCGGCACGAACTCCACTCCCGATCCGGGCCCTCTCGCCTCCTGGATGTGCTGTCTCAGCATTCTGCTACTGCCCAGCCCTTCCCATCTCTTCTTCCTGGCATCAGGCAAGTCTTCCAAGTTCACAACCGTGCTCGGACCCAGACGCTTCTGGGACGGTAGACCTTCCATGGCATTCCCTCCAGAGCAGGGATGTCCCTGCTCCTTGGACTGCATGCGGGGCTGTCTTCCGAAGTTTAGCCTGCTTTCATCCCGTGGCAGCTTACCTCCTGTGTCTTCTCCAGGGCTGCCCTCTGTGGAGGAGGGCTTTCCCCACTGCAACCGCTTTCCTTTCTGCTCCCTCCTTCTCTGACTACCTTCATGCGCTTCTCCTACCTGGCGTTTGAGACCCCATGTCTTGAAATCCAGTGACTCTCTCCCCCGAGGCCTTCCATCAGCAGGACACCATCACTCCCTCCTCTGAATCCTCAGGGTACTTTGCCTGTATCCCTCGCCTGCCCTTTTCACGGTCTGCCTTATTAATTATGGTAGAGGGTTAGCGCTTGGCCCAGAACCACCCACCTTGTGAACTGTGGAACTAGGATGTAAATCTCGACTTCGCTTGCTTCACAGACTGTGCTGTGAGCACATACCAGTGACCTCCAGCCTATTGATTTTGGACCTCTCCATCTCCCCCTCCCTCTCCGTCCCCTATGGCACTTCGCCATTGTGCATGAGAGGTTCCTGATAAGTATTCCTAGAATGTGCAGCACTGTGTCTCTGTACAAAGAAGTTATTTATTTATTTTTTTTTTAATATTTTATTTATTTATTTGACATAGAGAGAAAGAGAGACACAGAGTGAGCACAAGCTGGGGGAGTGGCAGGCAGAGGCAGAGGGAGAAGCAGGCTCCCCACAGAGAAGGGGGAGTCCGATGCGGGACTCGATCCCAGTACTCTGGGATCATGACCTGAGCCGAAGGCAGTGGCTTAACCAACTGAGCCACCCAGGCACCCCAAAGAAGTTATTTTTTAAAGGGGCTGTCCAATTAACTCTTGTTTAAGGGATAAACCATGAAAAAAATGCAATCGTACTTAACTTCTGTGTTTTTGTATGTGGCCTTTATAGCCCCACTAAACGCAGACATTGATTGGAATCATTGTGCCCGAATCTCCTTTCTCATCATTTCCATGGACCTTTTTCTGATCTTGTCTTCCTCAAATTGACAGTATTTACATCTGTGTCACCAATTTTGAACCTAATTATATACTATTTCATGTTATTTCTTAAATGATTTCTTCAGTTTTATGCATTTCCATAATGCCAGTTGTCCAACGGTGTCAGCTCCATGCATTTTGATGACTGAAAAAAAAAAAAACGAGAGAGAAAGAATGAAAATCCCTTCTTAGTATGATGATAAACAAGTGTTTAAAAAGACACTATTTGAGGGGCGCCTGGGAGGCTCAGTGGGTTAAGCCTCTGCCTTCAGCTCAGGTCATGATCCCAGCGTCCTGGGATCGAGCCCCACATCGGGCTCCCTGCTCCGTGGGAAGCCCGCTTCTCCCCCTCCCACTCCCCCTTCCCCCTGCTCACGGGCATGTGCGTGCATTCTGTCTCTCAAATAAATAAATAAAATCCTTAAAAAAAAAAGACACTATTTGAATCACTTGGAATTATTTGTCTTTGTTTTCATACTGCCCATCTAGCTATTTGATAAGCCAGCATTCTAGTCTTAACCCATCTGTGGATCTTTCCTTTATTATCACTATAACCAGATGCCCATCAGTTTAAAACTTGTTTAGGCTGAAAAACAACGGAGCGTTGCTATATTTAAAAATTTATCTTGCTGGTGGTGGGGGAGTTGGGGAAAACAATTATGTTTTAAGCCATAATGTAAATAGAACAGTTTTTGTGTCCTTGGCATTTGCTAGAAGCAAAAGCTTAAGTGAAAGCAAACACTCAGAGAATTGTAAAGAGATTAAGGAGACAAGTTTAATAAAGATTGTTTTTTTCAGAGGCGGCATCCTTTTGACTTCCTCCTGTCATTAAATTCTGCATGTGTTTGGTTGAAAGTAAAATTTAAACGGCTTTATGATTTTAAAGAAATGCCAAATTATGTAAAAAGTTGATATTCTTACTCTAATTTGAATTTTTAAAAAAAAAGGGGTAGGGAGAGGAGAGGGAGAGTGGGTCTCTAGAAATTAGGTTTTTTAAAAATCCAACGCTACTTAAGGCATTTCAATACCTTTACCAAGTGTTCAACTTGTGAGGGAGAAAAGGTAGAAATTCTGATGACAGTTTTTTTGTTTGTTTGTTTGTTTGTTTTTTAAGGAGCTGGAAAGATGTCTCTCCACGTGCCCAGAGTGACAGTGTGACTGTCTGAGAACATCTAAGTGAACAACTAGAATGAAGAGCCTAACATTGACCTTTCCCTTTTTCTTCCTCTCTTCCCTCTGCAGGTTACCTATCTGGGTAAAGTCCCTACCACAGGCATGCAGTTTCTGTCAGGCTGCACAGAGAAACCAGTCATCGAGCTCTGGAAGAAGCACACGCTAGCCCGAGAAGATGTCTTTCCAGCCAATGCCCTTCTGGAAATCCGACCATTCCAAGTCTGGCTCCATCACCTTGACCACAAAGGTGAAGCCACGGTCCACATGGATACCTTCCAGGTGGCGCGCATTGCCTACTGCACTGCCGACCACAACGTGAGCCCCAACATCTTCGCCTGGGTTTACAGGGAGATCAATGACGACCTGTCCTACCAGATGGACTGCCACGCTGTAGAGTGTGAGAGCAAGCTCGAGGCCAAGAAGCTGGCCCACGCCATGATGGAGGCCTTCAAGAAGACTTTCCACAGTATGAAGAGCGATGGTCGGATCCATAGGAACAGCTCATCGGAAGAAGTTTCCCAGGAATTGGAATCCGATGATGGCTGAATGAACTTAGGATGCTTCAGCAAGGCAGCATTGGTCAAGGAATTCAAGATGATAGATAAATAAGCAATGGTTCAAATTCGGGAAGAAAAGACTGCCAAACTATTGGCTGACCAAGCTTTTTAAATTTAGAAGAGCAATTCTAAATCTAAAGAAATGTATTATTAAAGTAATTACATTACATTGAAATCTGCTGCTGCTGTGACTGTGAGGAGGGTGGGCGTGCGGATGGGGAGGAAAGTTCTAGACTGTCTTCTCCCCGCCCCCCCCATTTTCCCATGCCTCCCTGTAGGAGACCTCCATGCCAGTTATCACCATGCTCAGGCAAATACACTGCATCTGTTATTTGATGGACCATTCCAATTTGCCTTATGAAATCCAACAAGAATGTTAGATGCACTTATAGGATCCCTAGTCATGGGGAAGGGATATGGGGGGGGTGCAGGTGCGGAGGCCACAGAGCTAAAGGAACACCTCAGGCTCATCCTGAGAGCCCCTCTCCCTGGCATGTTTCAGATTCTCTCCTCAGTAAGCAAATCAGCACAGCCTTTATTGAGCTTTACAACTAACAACCTGATAGTTGGCAGTTAATTCACAGTTAAAGATAATGCTTTTATTTACGTAAATATATCAAGCAGTACCCTCTTATTGTATTCACTTCATCTCTTTTCTTAGAATACTTGCAACTACTAATAGCTGCTTTCCTCATCCTTCCTCATCCACCCTCTTTCCCCTTCCAACCCAGCCAACATCCCTAAGGGATGGATTCTCAGCATACACTGCGGGACACAAAAAGGGAAGAAAATAACCAAGCAGATGAAATAAACAATCAAAGTAGGAGTTTCAAACAACCACCACAACCACAGAAACCTTGGAAAAAGGGAATGAGTTATCAGCAAGTGAGCAAACTCCATGTAGGCTGTCCTTTGATCAATTCTGATTTATGGTAACTTAGTTGATGGTCCTGTCTGATGAATCCTTCACAGCAAGCTTCAGATCTGATTGGGCATCACCAAGAAAGCCTTGCCCCCATCACTCAATATTGTACTCTAATAGGGAATGTGCTTTATACACCTGGCTTGTCTAGAGAAACTGCATCCTAAAGGGAAATCTGACCCTGTTATCTTAAAATTGGTGATATCTTAGGGGCAGAATTGCCGGTTTGTTCACTGTTTCTAATGAGAAATTCTCAGTAAGAGAGCCTGAGATGTCTCAGCTTAATGGATCTTTAGATATCATCAACACAGAGTCAACACTGAATGAAATTGAAAGTGTTGGTTCAAATACATATATTTAAGGCCAGGAGCAGATGGCTAGTTTTCCAGGTAACGTTGCTCCTCGACTGAAGTCTGTTTTTAATCCCCATAACGTTAGGGACACTGGGGCACCTTATAGAAGCCTTAAATGAGAGCTCATCGAATCCAGAGAGTAATGGTGTCAGCGTTTTGGTCTGTGTATCTGCGTGTCCGTGTATGCGTTTGTGTGTGTGTACGTGTGCCCCCGTGTGTGGGTCCAGTTTTAAGGCATGTAGAGTGAGCATGGAGTCGTATTGAGAAGAACTCGCCTCTTGGAGATATTGCTTGCTGTTCTACAACACATGTAAACTATTCTATAGCATAAATGCATTCATTCTTTAATAAAAAATATGTTTGCATTAATAAAGCTGAGGACTTTCATACTTTATATGTCTTTCCTTTTTTAAGTAATGAAAACCTGAAGGACAGAATAGATCAAATTGAGGAAAGAGGGAATTCTTCCTAAAAAACATTCCTACTAGGTCATAAATAACCCATTCTTCCTTGATAGTGTTTAAATAAATCTTGTTTTTTTTCCAATGCCCAATTTATATTTAATTCAATGAGATGGTATCGTGTCAACCATTGAAATAGTTATTCAGTGTGGTGGACTTATTTCAGAGGAGAGTCTTCCAGAACGTTTTGCCAGTGATCTCCATTTATAAAATCTTGCATTTTATCTTGAGAGAACCTGTGCTGAGATCCTGGAATGTAAACCCGGAGTGATTCCTTCTGACAGCACTAGTTAAAAATGTTTCCTGCAGGCCATGATTTCTCAGAACGACCCCATTAATCTAGCAAGGCAGGTGGCCCTGGAGCCCGTGCATCTTGAGCAGTGCCCTTCATGGACTCAGTAACCAACATAAAGCCTCCTGAAGTGAAAATATGAGAGCCTACTGAAGAGGGACACTCAGTTAAGAATTATCACCCATCTCCTCCCATTCAAATGGCATTTTCCCTCATTGACCTTTCCTCAATTTCAATTTCACTACGTTGCCCTTGAATAGGCTTCTAAGAAGGAGGGAAAAAAAAGAAAGAGAGAGAGAGAGAGAAAGAAAAGAAAGAAAGAAAAGAAAGAAAGAAAGAAAGAAAGAAAGAAAGAAAGAAAGAAAGAAAAGAAAGAAAGAAAGAGAAAGAAAGAAAGAAAGAAAGAAAGAAGGAAAGAAAGAAGGAAAAGAAAGAAAAGAGAAAAAGAAAGAGAAACAAAAGAAAAGAAAGAAAAAGAAAGAAAGAAAGGACCCAGCCAGCACATATTTCAAAGCAATGCCATTTTCCTCTCACAATAAAAGTTAAATCCCAAGTTTACATATGATTATTTATCGCAGAAAGCGTTTGCTGGTATTTTTTTCGGGGTACTGAGTGTGACATGCTAAGTAATTGGCTCTGATAATATTGCCATGAGCTTTTGCTTGAGATGATTAGTAGGAAATTTAAAGATAAATACACAACGACATCTTTCAAATGGCTAATGAATTCTTTGGGGGCAGCCAGTATTAATTCCCCCTCAGAGGGGTGATTCAGACTTGCATTTTTTTTTTTTTTTTAATGCTTTCTTTTCTCCCTTTCTGCACTGTATGTTCCATACTGGTGGTCACAAAGCACTTCCATGTATGTTAACTCATATGTCTTCCCCGGAAGATTTGGCAGTTACTTTAGAGATAAACTCAGATTCAGAGAGGTCACGTTATATAACTTGGCTAAGGCAGAACAGCTAGGATGTGTTTGATGGAGACTTTGAACCCTCTGACTTCTGGTCCAGGGCTATTGTTCTGTTTAGGCAAGATCCAGCCCTTTGGGATTTTTTATTTCCATTCTCCTTAAATCCTCTAGCTTATTTTATTTTATTTTATACTAAGATTTTATTTATTTATTTGAGAGAGAGGGCGAGGGGAGGGGCAGAGGGAGAGGGAGAGAATCTCAAGCAGACTCCATGCTGAGCATGGAGCCCGATGCGGGGCTCCATCTCATGGCCCTGAGATCACGACTTGAGCCAAAATCAAGAGTCTGACCCATAACTGACTGAGCCACCCAGCCGCCCCTCCTCTAGCTTATTTCAAATTAGCATGCTACACCACTATAAATAAACATCCTTTGCTATTCGTTTTCAAGTACTTTTGATAGCAATAGAAAACATTTTAAAAACAAACAGAGGCCCAGGAAGTTTTATTTGAGCACAAATAACATAATATGAGATTTTACTTAAGTATTTTATTGGCTGTGGTCAACGGACAGAATACTCTTTTCACCCCTACAGAACCAAGATACATGGTTTATTTTGTTTTTCTCGGGACATGTTAAAATTCTGAGTCACATCCTTCTGCTGCAGGATTCTAGAGCACACTGTAATTTTCTCTTCAGTCATTCCCTGCATTTTTGATTCTGTATTTGTATGATTGTGTGTGTGTGTGTGTGTGTGTGTGTGTGTGTGTGTGTGTGTGTGTATTATATAAGTATCTGTTTAAGCCTCTGGGGTGTAAGCGTCATTAAGATGGGGATTTTGTCCCTTTTGGTCACATTTCATCTCTAGTCATAGATTACAGAATTCTTGTTTTACACTTGTTTCTGTTTATTTCTGTTGCTGAAAACAAAGAGGATGGGTATTAGGGGAAAAGCATTTTTATTTTTCTGACAATGAGAAGCATATGACTATAACTGATTTCCCCCCAAATTTGTACTTCAGAAGACATTTTTCCTTTGTCCTCTCTTTTGCCTTTTCCCACTTTTTTCCCCTCTTCCCCTCTATCCTTTTCGACTTTAATGTTTAATTATTTACACGACACCACTCCAGACTTTTCTCTGATTTGAGCAGGAAGAGCATGTGTGCTCTGAATCTGTGATCATGTTTTAGTTCATGATCCATTGATGCAAAATTTGACAGTATTGTCAAACAGTTCAGATTATCCTAGATTGCTCTTAGTTGTTATTTTTCAGTCAGATAGGACATGATGACAATTTAATTCGTCATAGCTTACTATTAAGCATTCCAAAAATGTGCAATATATTGCCTCATCTCCTTGTCTTACCCTAAACTGAACTGGGGTGAAGGTGAAGGTTCCCTTAATTGCCAAATTCTGATTGATCTTCAAGAAACTTTCCTTTTAGACACCAAGATTTGGCCTTTCGAGTAATTTTATGGGACACATTTGTTCAACTTAAGAACTCTGGCTGCTTCTTTTGAAGAGGTACCAGCTGATAATAGTTACCAGAAGAGAACTATGTATGGTACATAAACCCCAAGCTTAGAAAGAAAAACAACTGCATGCGTAAGAGCAAATTGCTAAAAGGAAGAAAAATCTAATCCATCTTATATTGGACATTTACAAATAAACTACGATATATTTTTTTAAATGAACCTAAGACATAGTCTTGCACACTTGACCAAAGTTGACATTCACAAAGAGATTTGGGGAGAATGTTTCTTTTGGAATGTCCTAGTAAGATTATTTTGGGTTTTGCTTCGGCACACAAAATTGGTTATTTAAAAATAATCTGAATAGTTTGTGCTCAGGAGACCTATGACTTTCATTTAAAAGCATTTTTAAGTTCCTACTAAGTTTTCAATAGCTTAGCTTAGAGGCTACTCTAAGAAGGTACTGAGGTGATCTGAAAATGGAATTACTGAAGCATTACACATTTTTAAGCCCTTCGTAATAAATTACCAATAATTATCAATACTTGTATGTCTATAGAGTCATTTAACAATTATTTTCTATTTTTTGAAGATTTTATTTATTTGAGAGAGAGAATGAGAGAGAGAGAGAGCACATGAGAGGGGGGAGGGTCAGAGGGGGAAGCAGACTCCCTGCCGAGCAGGGAGCCCGATGCGGGACTCGATCCCGGGACTCCAGGATCATGACCTGAGCCAAAGGCAGTTGCTTAACCAACTGAGCTACC